GACAGGCTTGAGAAGATGCGGGCGATCAGCTCGTCTCTTCCTCCCATCCTCGAGCTCGCTGGCCTCCGCCTCCTCCGCCCCCTCGACGGCGCCGTATTCTCGGGCACGGCGTCGAAACAACTGGTCCAGGTCGATCCGTTCCGACTGTTCGGCGCTGATTACTTCTGTTCCCGAGTCCCGAGGCAAGCGCTTCAGGCCTTCCCCTCCTCCCGCTCGCTGTTCTCAATTTTCCAGCCTCTGTCGCCTTTCTACGAGTTCATTTGCGTCTGCTCAACTGTTCGTGCTTTCGGCGAGACGTTGAGACGCAAGGACAAGCCCCTTTCTTGTTCTCGGGATGCCAGTTCTCGGGATGCCAGAGATTCGCAGCAGTCGCCCTCCCGGCCCTTCTACGGACCATTCCGCCTCGGAGACCACACTTGAACACACACAAGTTTCTGCCAGCGCTGGGCCGAGCAATTCCGGGAAGACCAAGACTGTCGCGGCACTCGCTGTCGTGCTCGCGCACGGGAAGCTCGCTCTCGCCGACGCCGTGAGACTCGGACGGACATGCAAGTCCCTGGGAGGGATCGCAGAGGCGGCGATTGTGAGGTGCGTATCCGATATACGTGCGGGAGACGAATGCGAGGTCTGCTTGAGGTCTGCGCGGGCGGTGAAGAGCTTTGCTCGTTTCGTCGCCAGGAGGACGGAGCGCTGGAGCGTGGACGGAATCGATGACGATGACGAGGACGATGACGAGGACGAAAGAGACGACCGTAAAGACGACGACGGCGACCTCCACCGCGATGACGACGACGAGGCGAGCACCGACGACTCAGGCGAGGAGTTCCACAGCGTCGCTTCAGGCTCGTCGCTTTCGTCCCCATCCCCTGTACCCCCGAAGCCTGCGCTGTTGCGGACGCGGAGGCTCGCGCTTTACATCTCGCCATCCGAGCTCCTGGACGACTTTCCTACCACGTCTCTCCTCTTCATCCTGACCGCCACCTCCACCTCCCTCGCTCACCTCCACATCGCGTACGCGGAACCTCTGCTCGCACACGACCCGCGCATACCCCGCGCGTTTGCAGCGCTCTCTTCCCTAACCCATCTCGTTCTTTCTGAGCTCGGACCGACAGGTTGCGAGTCCGTCAGGGCTCTCCGCGCGACCCTCGAGCACGTCGAGGTCGACTTCGACGATGCCTGGGTCGAGTCCGTCATCTGCGCCTCCTTTGCGAAGCCTGGCAATATCCCGACCCCAGCCTCAACTCCAGCGACCACTCCCGCTGCGCCAGGAGTGATTGCAGTCCTCCCAGACCCAGTCCCGCTTCTTGTGCACTCCATGTCCACTCTGCGTACCCTCCGCGCAAGCAATGCAATCATTGTCACAGTAGCGGACAAACTCCGCTATCCCTCCGTGCGCACCCTCGCGCTGCGTCTCGCCGGCGTTCCGACCGTGACCCCGCTCGTGCACGCGTTCCCCGGCGTCGCAGAACTCTACGTCTACACACCCTTCGACGGCTGCGGTGCCCGCGCCCCAGTTACCCTACCTCCCCGCACGCAACCCCAGAGCCCCGTCCCACCGATGGGCCACCACCGCAACGGGAAACGGCGTGTACGACCGCCCCTGCCCGACATTCACGCGACGCGGGAGGCCAACCTCAGCTCCCAGCTCTACAGCTCATTTCCGCCCCTCGCTTGCGTGCGTGGCTTCGCCCCGGGGCTGTACGCGCTCGGGCTGTCGTGCGCGGTGAAGCGGCTCGAGATCGGCAGCCTCAGTCCTCCGAGTCTGGGTGGCCAGGAGGCCGCCGCCGTGCGCAGGCTGCTGGCGGATACGATGCCGTCGAGCGTCAGCTTGAGTTTGGGACGCGGCTGGTGGGCGTTGGAGCGGAGGAAGGAGCGGACGAGAGGTCGAGAGCGGGGGCTCAGGACAATCTTCGGCAGCGCGAGCTCGGAGGATGCGAACGCGGCCGCATGGTCCGGCGTAAGTGAGCTCGTCGTGCGGGTCGAGGAGCCAGGAAAGTGGACGGACGTCACGGTGCGTTCATTCTCGTGTCCTACCAGGTGGATGTGCTGACAAGATTCCCTCAGCACGACCTTGCCGCGATGCTCCTGCCGCTCGCGAACACGCTCGCCACCTTCGTCCTGCACTGGGACCGCACCTCCGTCCCCTTCGACCGCACGTCCTCGGACGACGACATGGACGACTACGAGTTCCCGGCTGCGTCCTCATCGACATCGCTGTCGTCTGCTTCGACGCCTCTCTCGCCCTCCGATTCGCGCACGGAACGCTTCGCGCGGACGATCGCCGAGCAGATGCCCGCACTGCGCTACCTCCTCCTCGAGATCGTGCACGACCGCCGCCGGCCGCCCTACCAGTTCAACTTCGCCTCCCCGCCTCCGTCGCTCGTGGACTGCACTGGCACGTCGATTCCACCAGCGGCGGGCATGAGCGAGGACGGCCTGCGGAGGTATGAGCGGCGGTTCTGGCGCGTGGACCGCTCCGAGGGCTGGCTTTGTCTCGATCCGCTGAGCGAGGCGGCCGCACGGAAGCTCATGGATGCCGAGGGGCTCACATTCGAAGATCGTGTGCGGTACTAGCACGAGTGTCCGAGCTCGGCTTGTGTTGAGCTCGGGCTCGATGACTGCGATGTCCGTTAGGCTCGTGATTTCTGGACCTTGAACATATACACGGATGATCGTCGTGTCTTGTTTCTTGTGCGTACTGGACTGCTTGATATCTGCGTTCTGTGTTCCTCGCCATGTTGTTCTGTGCGCATGTTTACGCTGCCTGTAATGCTAATCGACTGCTGTACTCGTATGCCCACCGGACCCGACGCGCGTGCGCCGTGCGCCCGGGAGTGGTGTATAGGTGAGTGCTGGTGTGGACAGGAGGCCCTTGGCATGACACCTCACCACGCCGACATGACGACGAGCATTCACGGCTCGACGAAGGGTGGGATTTGACAGTACAGGTGAGTAACTGCATGCTTCTCCTTGCTAGTCTTCCGTCGTACCCTCCGAGTCTGTATACCTGCCTCCGCTCACCTCAAAGCAGTCACAACACGTTCCTGTGCTGCACGCGCCGTTCCCGTCGCTGCGCACACCGACATCTGAGTAGTGAGTACACATTCCTCCTCGTCCCACACTGACTGCCACCTGATCTGCCTCGCGCTGCTTACTGTACCCTTGTCCACCTCCCGTTCAGTGATGTGCATGTCCTGCGTCGCGCGGCGCTGTCAGTGCTCAATATGCGGCGCGGAGGAGATACGAAGCTGTCAAACTCTAACGCCGGTCATTTCAAGGCTCGTCTGGTATGCATTCTGGATCGCTGAACTTGCTCCATATGCTGACGGGTAGTCATGACAGTTCCTCATCCCGCCGTTTGCACTCCACTGCGATGCGCGCAACGTCTCGTTCCCTTCCTTCCCTGAGTTGCTCTGGCTGACGTGCTGGCTCATGGTCGCTGGGCAGCAGGTCACCCTCAGGTTCGACTTTTCTCTCCCCTCACCGTCGGCACTTCCCCGAAGACTTTCCTTCCTGCTCGACTGCTCAGCAATCCCACACGTGATGGACTTGAGTGCACAACGATAGCGTGTTCGCGGTCCTCTCGCATTGGCCGATGACATGCAAGGGAGCTTGCAAAACTGGAGATGCGGATGAGCATTGCAGGCTGAGGTCTGGAAAGTAGCACTCGTACAGGTGCGTGCCTACGTACAACTGCGGTGAGTAATAATCGCCTTCGCCCTCCCTTTCCCTGCTAACCCCGAAGCGACCTCCATACCAGAAGCCTGCGTCCAGTAGGCATGCTTATACATATCAAAGTCTTCTCCAGCCCTCAATGCATCCCAGCTGCGTCCCGACGCCCAGCGCACCCCTCGTCTGTTTCCCATTCCATCGGGCGGTCGAACCTCGAACGAGATGAATATGCACCTGCCCCTGCGTGCACAGCCGAAGCTCAGCTCGGTCCTTCAAGTCATGAGCGAACGGAGTGACCCGGGCAACGTTGCGAGGTGCGTTGACAGCGAGCAGACATACGAAGGGAGCGAGAAGACAAGGGACTACGGCGAGGAGTGGTGCAACAACGGCGAGCGTAGGTCGGGGGAAGGGAAGGCGGCGAACAGGTCAGGTCAAAGGAGGAAGGCAGGAGAGAGGTCAGTCGAGCAGGTGAGTAACATCCCGACACGCTTTTGCCTAAGTACTTATACCTCCAGATGACGGGTTCCCACGAATTGTTATTCGAAATTCCTCGGCAGTTGTGCCGTGCACCCGGGTCCGGAGGCCGTCTCCACGTACGTACGCACAGCGGGTATTACGTGCTGATATGTATTCGATTTCAAGCAGTGCCCGGCTCGCAGACTCATGCCTGACATCGGGTGCATGTCCGCGCACCGTCTGTTCGTCTTGGTAGATATGGGCTTGTGCTTACAGCCCAAAGAACAGCAGCAGTCAATGAGTCCCAGTCCTCCCAGGACCCGGGCTGACATTTCTCCAGTCTCAACGCGCACGAAGCGCAGTATGCCATATGGTATCCATCCAACCCAGAACCCCATCTATGGGTTAGGAGTCACCACATCCTCCCGTCTGGCCTGCGTCATGCACTCGAGCACGGACATTTCAATGCCGTTCTCTCCCACGCATGTCACCCGAAGGTACACATCAGCTCTGAGTTCTTGGTGAGCGCGAAGAACAGTGAGTTTCAGCCGAAGTTCTGGGCGGTGTACTGAATACTCACGCATACCGCCCCGTAGTCCAGGGCGGTCGATATTCGAGACTCGTCAGTGTTCGAGCACTGTACAGGCTCACGCCGCTACGGCTCCGAGCTTGGAGTCTCGAGGCAACTTGGTGGCCTCATCTCGCAAGTTTCAAGGAAGTAGGTGGAGGACCACATTGCACGTGAGTCTCCGGGGACAGCAACACAGAACGTGTCTCGTCAGCTCACTGACCACGCGGCGGGGATCTGTCCTGGCCTGAAACACCAGAATCGCGTCGCCAGGCCACAAAAAAGCTGATTCCCAAGCCGAATACAGCCCTGCAGGAATCGAACCTGCGACCACGACGTGCAGCGGCACAGCTTCTAAGTGGTCTACCAACTAAGCCAGGAGGGCTGATATACAATACTGTTAGCACCCACGAGCGGTCGGCCGCTCACGGCAGGGTAATGGGGGTCGCTGAACGTAGCACGGGATGCATAAGTATGGTATTTGCACTCAAGACGTGTCCGGCGGCGTGCCGATACACTAAGCGTTGAACACATCAG